AACTTTTGGACGATCCTGTAAAATGTTTGAATATCACTACAATTACCTTATTTTTTGTGCAGTTACTAACCGAATCAACTAGGTGGTTATTATATTTACAAGGAGATGGGATTGAAACAAATAAATCTGTAAAAGTTATGTTTAAGAATTTAATAGAAAATAAAGGCAAGGTATGTATGTTGGCAAATACAATATGTATACTTTATTGTATTATATATTTTTTTTGGTGTATTATGTTAGGTAAGATTACTAATCAATTGTCTCGAAAAAAATAGCATTTTGCTCATGCGTTATGGATAACCTTATTTGGTGCATTCATGTTTCATTTGATAGCTGTCGTTTTTGGCGCTCCTGTGATTGAGTAAATTTTTTTTTATTTTTGCATTTTTATCCTTTAAAATTTATTAAAATGTTCACTTTAATCTATTAGTGATGTTCAAAATACTTGGTTATTTGCGCTTTATATATCGCTTTTGGCAATCTATCCTCCTGCCTGTGCCTTCAAAAATCAAGGACCTATTTGGGCACGGGTGTTCTCTGATGGAAGGTATACTTATTTTTCAGATTAGATCATTGGATTATTTCTTTTGTTATGATTCAAACTTTGTTGTTTTATAAAAAGCCCGGAAAGTATTCCCGAAAAATTAATTTATTATACAACAGTAGCTACAGTTGTTGGTGCTTGGTTAGGTGCTATTGTTATTCCTCTGGACTGGGACAGACCTTGGCAGGTTAGTTTAAATATTGGTATTCTTTTTATATGAGAATTCAACTGTATTTTTTGCTTTTAGGTGTGGCCAATTCCTTGTGTAATTGGAGGATTTGTTGGACATGGAATTGGAAGTATTATAGCGTTATCGATGTGTTATTTTAATGATGATAATACTGTACAAAAAAAGCGAGAATAAAAATTTTCAAGGTTGTTTAAGTTAAATATTTTGATTAATAACAAATATATATTACATAGTACTATATATTTTAGATATTACTTTTACCCAATTTGTTGGACATAAAAATGTAATTTCAATAATTGAATTTTTACTTTATTAGATTACAAACAGTATAGTTAAAAAAAAAAATCAAAACTTTATGCACTTTAAACCAAACAACCACGTTCCGTATTTTCGCGAAATACGTACAGGGCGTAATTTCGATTTAAGCTTAATTCGGCTCATTATTCGAAATAACGAGCATGCGCGTTATTTTGCGAAAATACCGATAAAAAATTTGGTGTTTGTAAGTTTGCATTTAAAAAGAAATATAGCTATACATATATGGCGAAACAATGAAATTTTTTGGTTTTCATATCCCGGCCGGGTCATTTTTTTTCAATTTAAAATTTAAGAGGTAAATTGTGGTTAAAGAGCATTAAAAATGGCAAATTTAATAGTAGGAAATTGTCGAAAGTTAATATAGTTTCCTATAGAACTGGAATGCAACTAGCTTACAATGTATTTTTTTTTTATACCAAGTAAACCTTAAGTTTTTAATAAATTTTATAGAGCAATTTATCCTGTTATAGTAGGATTATTAAAATTGGATTTGTAAACATGAGTTATTGGCATTTTTCTACAATATTTTTATTTATTTAGGCAGTTACATCAACTACAACTCTATTAGTATTTACTTACATTAGTACAACATAAAAAACAGAATATTCTAATAACTTGGTGCTAGCATCTTGTTATTTGTGCGTCTAAGAATGATCTGCACCAGGTTTACAAAAGACTTGGGTATTTTATCTGATTACTGTCTTACAATTGAACAGATAACATCTTTTTATAAAGAAGTAATAAAAACTTTTTAAACCAAAAATTTTAATTAAAAAAATATAAATAGAAGGTAATAAAAAAGTACAACCAAGAAATAATGATAATAAAAGATTAGGTCATTGTTATAAAATTTGTATTAGTTTATATGTTTTTTAAATAAAACAGTTTCTGTTTTGTTCTTATCTAATTATTAAATAACAAAAATATATTTATTAAAAAGTTCAATTTGACAAAAAAATTATTTATATCATATCTTTATATTATACTAAAAACCGGAAACCAGTGTAGTTTGAAGCATAAGTATTATATATTTCTAAAAAAATATATTATTTTTTTTTTAAAATAAAAAATAAAACTAATTTAAATATTTTTCTAACTATTATCCATGGTGATAATTATCTATCACATGATCACAATTTTTTTTGGTATTAAGGTGTTCTTTTTGGTCTTTTGACTTTTATTAATAACTTTTTTAGTAATATGATTTTATAAGCCACTACAGAAAGTGTATACAATTAGTTACATATGTAACTTTTCTATATTACTTATTTAAGAAGTTCACTTTAAGGTTTCTTACCAATTGCTGTACCTAATACTTTTACTTGGGTATTCTATTTTAAACCTTCTAAATCTGCATCTGTGTTAACATTACTTGGTCTTCTTAGATTATCATCTTAACTTTAAAATTATTTTATTTTTAAAATAAACCTTCTAGAATCTCTGTACTCATTTTTACAGTTAACTTGGTATTGTTATGACAGAACCAATACTTGTAATCAGAGTTAGTCAAAAACTGCTATGCTCTTGTAGAGTTTACTTGAACTTTAATATCTACTTTATAACATATTTGAAATATTTTAATATACTCTTGTTTGTTTTTTAGACTTTCAATTTAGATAGCCTGGTAGAACTACAATCAGTCTATTAGTATATTAGATTGACTTGATATTCTTTTTTACTAGTTTATTCTAGTGGTCTTGTTGGTGATGAACTTCTAATCCAGTTATTCTTACCTGTCTAAGTATATTAATATTAATATCTATTTTATAAGGCTAGTCTTTACAGTAACACTATTAAAGATTTATATTACTTTTTTATTTAGATCTTTCTAAATAGATTTTTTGTTTTTTAATTTTAACAGATTTACATTATCACAAGAACTTATCTAGAATTTGTATTGCCTAATACCAGTTTGTATTTTTCTGTATAATATTATATTTACACAAATGTCTTATAACCTACTAGTATGCTGGTGTATTTGCCATTATAGATATTCTAACTCAATTGTTAAAAACAGTTGTTGTAATACAAGTATTATATAGATGATTATTTAAATTTTTTATTATTAATGGGATTTGACATTTAGCCTACTACTTGAAGAATTGATAACTTATCTATTTTACTAAGTTGTTATATCTTATTAATTACAATTTATTTATTTATTTTTTTTTATAATTAAAGTCTCTATCTTAGAGATGCAATGTTTTTATTCAAGTATATTAGGACACAGCATGTCATTAGGGGCTCACTTTACATTAGAGATTACAACTAGTCACATGTGCATTTTTGGTACCTAATTTTTTTTTTTTTTTAAATATTAAGATAAGTACTTGCAACTTAGGATTTTATTAATAATATATTTGGCTAATAATTGCATTATAACCACAAAGGGCAATCATGAAGAGAGTGTACAACTAGTTACTTATACAACTTTAGTTATTGTTTAATTTAAGTAGTCTGCCCAAAGATTCTATACTAGCTGCCATACCTGAAACCACTTGTAGGTTCTCTATTTAACCACTCTGTTTCTGTATCTATCCACCTACTTCTGCCTACTAATGATCCTAGCTAATGCTAGTAAAAATATGCCATGACTACTAAGTCTTTAAAGCAGTTCACTTATATAGAGAACTTTTGATCTTGTACTAAACTTTCCAGAATCTTCTGTATCTTATTCTTATAGCTGATCTGGTATCACTATAGCTGAAACCAATACTGACAGTCAGAACATATTATTAAACTACTATACTCTTGTAGAGTTTATCTCAACTCTAGTACTGACTTCACAACATATCCTTACTACTTTGGTATTCAATTTAAGTTCTACTAAGCTGCCATTTCAGATAGTTCAGAAAGGTAGAACAAGATTGTACTACTGGTTTACATGTTTGCCAGCATGTGTCTTTTTCTTTTGAAATCTGAAAATTCTGATAGCCTAGTTGGTTCATCTGGTCCCTTCTCAAAGACTGGCATATTTGCCTGGTTTTACAAGTTCTAACTCTGTTTTATAAGTCTAGTCTTTACAGTAGCACTGTTAAAGGTTCAGGTTACCTCTCTACTTGGGTTTTCCAAGTGGGTTTCTGTCTTCCTATCTGGTTCCTGAATTTATACAATCTAAAGACTTATTTTAAATTCAACCACCTGGTACTGGTTTATATTTCCTCATACAATATTGTACAAGTGCCTAGACCTTCCAGTCATGCTGGTATAACATGGATTACAGGTATCTTATTCTAACCAATTATGGAAGACAGTTAGCTATAATATAAAAAGAATTGCAAATTTTTGTTATTACTGGAATTTGAACTCTAGACTTACTACTTGGGGGTTTTGATGCCTAATTTAAACAGTCTGCTTATATATTGCTATATAAGTTCTATACTAGTTGCTATATAAGTTCTATACTAGTTGCCATATCTGCAAGCTGACTAGGGGTCTTGCCTATTTAAACCTTCTGCATATGCAATCCTTTTTGTATTATGAGAACATCTCAAGGCTACATCTATTCAAATTCCAATACTTATTGTTATCCTTAGGACTAGTTTATTTTTGACAAAAAACTTACTAGAGCCTTTATATCTCACATATATAAACCTAGTTTTATGCAACATGCTATAGTTACCTAACATTTGCAGTTACAAGGGTTATCTGTTTAACCATTACATTACACTATTTCTACTCTTATAAAGTTTACTAAAATTCCAGTACCTATCTTCTCAGCATCTTCTCTATTGTCTTCTACTAGTCACAACTCCAAACTGTCAATCTTATTCTAGATTACCAATCCAGATGGCCTAGTATAATATACTTTGTATCTTTTTTCTCTAGTAAATCCAGCAGTCTGGTTGGTTATATGCTCCTCTATACATATTTGATATTCAGTTTTAACTTTTGGTTTCTATAAAGATGTTTTATAGGCTTTAACTAGTCTGATGGTATTGTTGAAAGTTCATGCTACCTTTTTACTTAGGAATTTCCAAGTGGGTTTCCATTATCTCAGTTTCTTAGTCTTTTATGCCTAATGGTCTTATCATAAGTTTGCATCAAAGTTTTATGTAACACCAGTTATACATTCCTCTATGTACATGTAATGTTATATTTTGCATAAATGCCTAAGCTCTCAATATCAGTAGGACCTGACTTGGTATACCTAGGTAATAGTCATATGAGGCCAACTAATTAACAGAAGACAGTTACTATAATGCAAATATAATTTTCAAATTTTGTCATAGATAGAATTTGAAGCTTAGACCTGCCACTTGGAGGATGACAACTCAACTACTATACTAGGATTGCTATCCTCTTAATTACAATTTATTTATTTTATTTTTTTTTAGTATTAAGGTGACCTTTTTGGTCTTTTGACTTTTATTAATCACTTATTAGTATTGTGGTTTAATAAACTACTATAGGAGAGAATACAATTAGTTATATGTATAACTTTTCTATATTACCTATTTAAGAAGTCCACCTCAAGGTTCCTTACCAATTGCTATACCTAACACTCCTGCTTGAGTGTTCTATTTTAAACCTTTTGAATCTGTAACCAATGTTAACTCACTAAGTTATACCCAGATGCCTAGATCATCATCTCAACTTTAGAACTAATTTATTCTTAAGATAAACCCTTTAGAACCTTTTGTACCCAATTTTACAGCTAATTTAGTTATTACTATAGCAAAACCAACACTTATAATTAGGACTAATCATTAAACTACTATGTGCTTGTAGAGTTCACTTAGACCTCAGCATTTACTTCACAGCATAACTCCAGTATTTTAGTATACCTTTGTCTTTTTACCTACCTTTTTACCAAACTCCCAATCCAAATAGCTGATGTAGAACTATGACCAGTC